GGTTCCGACTCATGTGCAGGGATGTTTGATGAGCTATAGATTAAGTCGTCCAGGTCACTATAGGTGACTCCGACTTATGTGCTAGCACTGATTGATGAGATATGGATAAGTCGTACAGTTCACTATAGGTGACTCCGACACTATAGGTGACTCCGACTTATGCGCTAGCACTGATTGATGAGATATTGATGAGTCGTATCGGTCACTATAGGTGACTCCGACTTATGGGATCGCACTGATTGATGGGATATGGATAAGTCGTACAGGTCACTATAGGTGACTTTGACTTATGCGCTAGCACTGATTGATGAGATAATGATGAGTCGTATAGGTCACTATAGGTGACTCCGACTTATGTGATAGCACTGATTGATAAGATATGGATAAGTCGTATAGGTCACTATATATGACTCCAACTTATGTGCTAGCATTGATTGAGGAGATATGAGTGCAGTCGTACAGGTTACCATCAATATGAGTGACTCTGACTTGCGGGCTAGTATAAGTTATTAAGCACATGATTATTTATATTGCTAATGAGATGTTTTGTAGTTATACTTCTGGATTTACTGTTAATATACATTTAATTACATACTTATATGTAGTATGATTTTCTAGAACTATACAGGTTTTACGGCGAGGGTTTACTACCTTTGATAATTGAAATGATTTTGAAAATCTTTGTTTTGCCCACTCACACTTTCTATTTTGCACCCCTCCAGGTTCTCGTAGCAAAGTTCCGTATCGGGGAGGATTTGTGGCACTCCCCAGTTCAGGTGGCTCTTTATGATGATATAATTATTATCTTACCTCACTGTACTTTACTTATACTCTGTATCATGTGTGAACTGGGTCCATACCCACTCATCGCACACTCGTGTATGTAGGTACTTTTAGGTTTAAATTTATTCACATTGTACACATTATCACACTTTATGGCTTCTTCACCTTCCAAGTGTCAGCCAGCACAGCTCGATTCGGAGCCCTAGTGGACATTCTGGGTCGGGGTATGTCACTCGACCCTACTTCCAAGGGTTTGACGAAGATCTTCGACAATTTCAAGCCACTTAGCATTGCAAGCAAAGCTCATAAATAAATCAGGATTTCCAAAATGATGGAATATAACCAAAGCATCCTGATAATTATTGATCATGTATCTAACACTGCCAAACACTGTTCTAAAAATTATCTACCTAGTCCCTACTTGGGTGCTAGGCAACTGGCCACCGTCCCGATTAATGCCTAGGCATTTGAAAATTAAGAAAGGGCACATAAACCCATTGAGGCGCCCGCCTAGGTCACGACTCACTTAGACAGAAAATAGATAACTTTCATTTTGTATTTTATTTTATTTTAATAAATTGTAAGAGACTAATTACATAATTAAATAAACACACTTCATATCCTTGTTCCCCATGTTTTCATTATGTTCCAATACTTCATAATATATATTTCATTCTATTTTGTAGTTTATGATGAAATTATATATATTTTAAGTATAAACAAATATTTATTTACACGAAATATGTTAGATTTACTTAAATTCGCCTAGTTTGTCTAGGCACTAGGCCCGAACCTGCCACCCGACTAACACCTAGCGTCTTTTAGAACTTTGATGCAAGTAAAAGAAGTTGGCAGGATAATTCTCTTACCAATGTTTCAACCACTTGCATTTTCATTTTTTAAGTGCTTCATGAATTCCCCTAAGACTCTCAATTCTCAAAGAAGTTTGATTTGCTCTAATGAAATCAAGCCTATCTTCTTCAAGCGTGGCATATGCATTAGCTAAATATTGTTGAAACAATTTGCCCCCCCCCCCAGTAGGGTGTTTTTCTAAGTCGGCCTATCCTGAATTTGGTAACCTAGAAATGCTTTCATAGATACCCCTCCAGTCTTGGGTTTTTTCCCTCTGAAATCTGGATTCCAAGGAATGCCCATGTATTTAGGATGAGAAAAGAAGAGGATATTGGAGAGCCATGTGTTTAGGATGCAACTTTGTTATCCTTTGCAACCCAATTGTCCTATGTTCTACAATAATATCTCTTTTAGTGTGAAATTGACCAATATCTCCAACTATTAACCCACCTATCCTCTCACACGCCAGCATATATTATATTGCGCATCACAATTGCTCTATATGCCATGCAAACGCAAGCACAAAGAACTCACAGACCCTTCATTAACCTTGTCCCTTGCTACCCTAAATAATTGAACCAACTAACTACAGACATCGAACATTTTAATGAGCCCATAAATTATTTCTTTGTCAAGTTTTGATGATATTTTTGGATCATTTTGAGTATTGTAAATGTAGATTTGGGCAAATGTAGAGTTGAATTATGATAGAAACTTAAGCCTTAAACTCTCTATTTTTAGAAAAACAGACTCAGGAATCGGAGATCTATTGGCCAACCCCCCCCCCCCCCCCCCCCCCCCCTCTAACTCCATGGGCGCATGACTTTGGTCTTTGATCAAAGGTGTGTTTAATTATTTTGTAAGTACAATTTCATCAAGACTAAAGACGATAAATTTTACCATAGCTTCATATTGGGATGTCTAGATTATATTAGTCACAAATAGAAATGCAGTATCCAAAATATCTACAGACAACAAAGAACGTCATATGGTGGCAGACCGTGTTGTTGATCTAGGAAACAACTTTGATTGAGGCTAAATGTATTTCGTGGCCGTTATGTTCGTAATAGGCCCCTTTTGAGAGATGATTTAATGTAACAGACGTTTTTAGGCCGCGGCCTATCTTTGTAATTTCATTTTGGGCATTGTCAATGTCTCCTCCACCTGCGGAGCCAGAGGCCTCTCCAAAGCAGGAAGCACCCGCATTGTCTCTTTGGCGAGAAAACTCCCCAAATGTAGTACAACTTCCCGTCCAGTTATGATGTCCTCTTATAAGTTTTTTCTTCACATGTTCTGGCAATCTCAGAGTATATCGATCCTCCTCTGCTCTAGGCCTAACTATGGAGTGCCCCGTTGAATGCGACCGCGAAAATCTTTCGGTTTCATTCTCTTTGTTTCGATCATGATTCTGATCGTGATCTTGATCTCGATCTCGAGTAGTGCTGCTGGTACTTTGTTCACCTTGTGCAACCATATTGTTATTGTTGTTACTACTGTTATCATTATTTCCTTGATGATGATGATGATCTTGGCCTTGTTCATCTTTAATGTCAATGCGGACAGCATCCAGATCCAACATCACTGACTCATGCCCTTCATGAATGTCTTGCATGGCGTGGTTCTCATGAGCAAGAACCGGAGACTTGTCCGCCAAACTCGGGGCTACTACTTCGAGATTTCCACGGCAAAATGGACAAGTTTTATGAGACTCGAGCCAAAGGTCGATGCAATCCCTGTGGAAAACATGGCAACACATCGTCAAGAGGCGTAGCATGCTATCGTCCTCAAACTCCACCAAGCAAATTGCGCATTCTAGGCCATACTTCTCTATTCGAAAATCTTTGACGCTTGCGTACTCAAATGTTGGAAATGATTCTATGAGTGAAACGTCAAGGCCTTCTTTGGGTACAACCGCCGTGCCCACAAGATCTCCGGAGGGTGTGCTCTGAAAGGAGGCAAGGATGTGATCCATGAAGCACTTGCAAAAGTAAATAGAAAAGAAACCCGCAAAGAAGAAGACAAGAAGGACGGTCAGAAGGATGGTAATTGGAGGGGACGCGGCATGTTGAGGTACTGGGGAGTAATTTGTATTCGTGGTCGATGATGACATTCCCTGCATAACAAAGACTGAGCGGCAATACCTTGATGTTAACCTCGTGGCCGGAGATCGGCTTGCACTTCCGGCCAGCCCTAGTGCATGGATATTCCGAGACGACGGAACACAACAATAATAGTAATAGTAATATTGACGAGAAGGAGCTACAAAGAAGAGAATGCAATGTTGTTTGTGTTAGATAGTAATAGTAATATTGACGAGAAGGAGCTACAAAGAGGAGAATGCAATGTTGTTTGTGTTAGTGTTGGGATCTAACTTTGTGTGTGTTGGATTGCTTCCTCCAGTCAGTCATTGGCAAGAGAGAAACAAGGAGGCATGCATGTTGTCAATGCATCTCCTCATGTTTTTGTGAGCATACAAAATTGTTGCCTTAATTTGGTATGTTGGCTGGAGATGTGGAAGTCTCTGGTAAGAACCAAAACTTCTGAGCTTAATTTGAGCGAGCCCTTGAGAGAAGGATGGGGCTCAGCGAATTATTCTCTTCACTATTATTCCAAACCACCAATTTCTTCATCAATAACACACACACACACACACACACACACACACACACACAAATAGGGTTAGAATTGATGAAATACATTATAGAGTGGATCCCATAAAAACATGTTTCAAAATGTATGTCAAGAGAGTGTCTCTGTATCCTAACACATGCATACATATATGTGTGTGTCAGAATCGGGGAACTCATTTTTTGACATTCTTAGGGCCCACTCATTCATTGTGGTCTTTGTATAAATATGTATACATCTATTTTCTTCACTATAAATGAATATTTTTAATGATTTTATATTTGTCTATTTTTTTGCAAGAAAGATTGAAATATGAACAGTTCGGATTCTTGAAAAATTACGAAATGAAAACCCCAAAAATGTGTGTCTAAAAATATCTCTCAATCTAGATCCATATATATAGGATAGTATTATTCACGCTCATTTTTTCTTTTCACACCCTTTTTAATTTCCAAACGTCAAATCAAAAGTAAAAAAGACAATGGCAAAAAATTAACAAGGATGTGTAGAATATAAAAATGGTTATCCACGTAACACTATCTAGCCACCCGTATATTTCAATGCCATATTTGGCCCTTGGTGCAGCGTTAGCACTTCTCTTTCCAATGTTGGAGTCCCAAATTCGAATCTCGCCTGGCCATTCATCGAATAAGAAAGAAAAATCCAGTCATATTATTTTGCATCATACGAGAGAATAAAGTTTCAGTCAGTACAAAAGAACCTCAAAGGCAGAAGACTAGATACAAATACTATGACTAATTCGAGAATAGGGAACTGATAGTTCGAACAAAGTGGTACAAAATAAGGACCTTCGTCTCTTTCGGACAAAGAGGGTCGTCACATAATTATATATGGTAACAAGGAAGACTAAGACTAGGAGAGTGATACAAAGCTTCAAGTTCTATTTGTAACAACAAAATTCTCACATGAAACACACATCGGATGCGACTTAACAAGCCTGCGATTAACCTGAACTCGAAGCGCGGATACAGAAACTTTTACAGAAATGTTACAGCTACATGATGATACCGTAATCTCTTACAAAGACTAGGTATCTAGTTTTCTATCTAATTTGTGTAAGTGACCGCAGTGCATTGCAGGCGAGCAATCCCAAATTCTATTCGATGTCATCAATCCAGTCACCGTATATCCTACTGATTTTGTCTGGTCCCTTCCATTTCTGATGGGCTCTTGGCCCTGATCTCTGAATTACAATAGATGATCTTTGTGACGAAACTCCAAGGTGATAAACATCAGAATATGAAACTAGAGGGACCGATACTACCACAGCATCTCCTGGAGTTTTCGAAGGCATTACTCCCTGCTTATTGTCAGGAGCGACTGAAGAAGAATCTCTAGTTTCTCCCTCCACAAGCCCACCACCATACCGGTGTAATTCTGCAGTCAGAATTTTGGGATTTCAAAGTCAGATACTGAAAGCACTATACGATTAGTCATGATAGATATTGCACATAAGTTCGAACTGAAACAAAAATATAGTCCTCAGATTCCAGACAATACATTAGCACGCTACTCTTCCGTGGCAGAAAAGTTGAAGTCGAACAGATGTTGTCAAGTGCGTTCTCATAAGAGCATATTTGCATTTATTGTCAACTAACCCTGAATACCTGCAACCTTAACAGGAACATCACCATGCCAATTTTTATGAACACTTTCTAATCTTTCATTTTGCATCCAGAACTTGTACCGACAGTTCAGTAGCCAATAAACTAAAAATTAGAGAAAACAAGTAAACAAACAAATGCACAATCTAGTATCATTACTCATAATACAACATTGACAGCACTGCGTAGCCAAACTGGATCAAGTTGTACGACAATAGTATGCATCTACATGATCCTTGCTTAAGCTTTATATTTTGAGGGTAAATTCCATTGTGCCTTTCCTCATGGAAGATGCACGATGTTTCCCTAGACGTCAATGCACAAGTCAAACCACCAATAAGAAAAAGTTGATCAGCTCCAAAGTGTGGGCTGGCCACATCTCTCTTAAGCTGGTTGCTAATTTGAATTTGTCGCCATCTGTATAGTCGGTCAGGTGATATACATTGTTGGTTTACCACTACCCAAAACCTTAAGTTCATAGGAATGTATCCATTCTGCACGTGGAGAGGCAGAGGAGAAACATAGGTCCAGCCCCACCCTGCACCTTGCAATCCTACAATGAAGTAAGAATGGGGATTGGATTTTGAACCAATGACCTCCTACTACCGATGCTCTAGTACCATGCTAGACAACCAGATCCCAAAACCCTAAGCTGTTACGATTGTGAACCAATAATTGTTTTAAACTTTAACAGTGGGAATATGCCCCGTGTTTCTGAGAAATTTCCACTGAAGGTACGAGAGAGTCTGGATTTGTCTTCTCCCTCATTAAAGACATGATAGGAGTTAGAAACTTATATCACTTATATTTTTTTATAAAGTCCTCTCACACATATACATGCTCAGAGGCAGATCCAGACAATAAGAATTCCACAAATATCTGTGTCAGCAATCTAGATTCGATACACCATCTCATTCTCTACCGCTAATTATGTCAAAATCTTTGTTTCTTCTAAACTTACAGAGGCTCAGGTGGCATGTTTGAATGAAAAAATGGAATAGAGCTTCTAACTAGGAACTTCCCTAGCCTACAATAAAATATGATTTTATTAATGATTATGATAATACGAGTGACCTTCTTAGTCAGATGTAAGCCTCTTTTGGACGGGTTGTTCTGTACCAACCTCTTTGTTAAGGTTTTTCAGTGGGTTGGAGAACAGCCCTAGACTCCCCCTGATGACTTGCAGATTGTTCGATCTAGTGATAGTAACATCAACTCCGCTGCTGGAATCCTAATGGTATTATTCAGCTTACCTTCTTCCTTGGTATTCTCTAATCATACCCATGTAAATTATAATAATAATTAAGAAACGGACAAACTATCCAGTTGTCCACATCAGCATAGGCAACTTCAATAAAATCTTGGTTCAAGGCCACAGATGGTTAAGAAAAATGAAAGATAGAAGAGATAATGATTTCACTCTTTCCTGTCATAATCAATAACACAGGTGAACAAGTAAGCAATAATTCAACAGCATATTTCTGCTACAGGAACTATTCCTCTAAATTCCACTATAGATTGGCTCAAATAAAAGACGGGATGAGCGGCTTCGAATGAAGTCTTATGTTCTTGCAATCCAGAACCTCTGTCCTAACATCGGAATTGGGCTTTCCCAGGCTCTCTATGAAAGACAACAGAACAAAGAAAGGTGTTGCCAAGCATCTTTGTCTTATGATGAAAAAGAAACATTCCTTTGTTAAAAGAAACATTCCTGTGTTAAGGTTTCCTTTTTTCAGGGGAGAAACACAGGTAACAAAGTCTTTGGTAATGATGCACCAAAACAAGAAGTAAACCAGTACCACGATTTTGAAACTATTGGAAAATAAACTTAAATAGTAGTTGATCATAATTGAATCACTTAACATACTAAAGTACTTTGCAAAATCAAGAGCAAAACAAGAACAGGCGTGGACATAAATGATGTATGAAATTATAATTTTACAACAATTCTTTAGAGTTAGCTCAATGTCTTACTTATTTGGGACAACAGAAGTTGAGAACATCAAGCATCCATGTAAAGAAACTGAAACCAGTATTTCTTAAGTCCTAGAATGGAAGCCCAAGCAAGACAGCTAGCTCTATGAAAATGTACATGGACAAATGACAACATGAAGGAACTATAAAAATTAAATTATTCTCATCCTCAAATCAGATACCTATTACAGCATGGAATATTGCTGAATCTTCAAACTGGAGCTATAAAGACAACACTAGCCTATATACAGAATCAACATCAATTCTTTTCCGTTATCTAAAGCGAAAATGGAAAAAGTATATAAATCATACCTGCTACACCATGAGCAAAATGGCATTTGCTTCCAAATGGGCAATATCCTGTCAATTCCCACTTATTGCAAATCCTTGTTTTCCAGTTTGATGGCTTGTTATTTGCTCCATTCGCAGCAGCAGCAGCACCACCACCATACCCTCCAGGACCTAAACTTATTGCCACACTCTCTCTATTCTTGGACTGCTCATCATGAAGAAAAGTGCAATTATCCCCATAAGGACACCCTTCCTCAGTATAAAACTTTTTGCAATGCCTCCCTTTATAGGATCTTGGAGTCTCCACACCATAACCTGTAGAGACGATTGGAATTTGGTACTCTTCCCTTGGCTCTGAAGATACAGCCTTTTCTTCCTCGTGGGCAGCCACAATTTCTTGCCAATTTGGCGGCGGCCTCCGAAGCTCTTCAATGCTATGAGCAAAGTTACAATTGGTAACATAGGGGCACGTCCCAGCACGGAATTTGCAACAAAGTTTGGTTTTGAAGAACATTTTCCCAATGGCTTTTGACCGGTTAGATGAAGTTGCATCTTGGGAGTTCCTTGATTTCTTATTTGGGGGTTCGCTTCCAGAGCGACTTTGCGACTGCCTTTGATCATAATTTGAGTTGGACATGGTGTCCGCCAACGCGTCACCATTATTCCAAACACGGTACTCATCCTCAGTAGCCCAAACTGCCTGGTCACTAGACCAAATATCACCACCACCACCACTACTATTCCCAGTGATTACATGGACTACATTGCTCTCTCTACCATAATCCATTGGAATTTGGAAGTACAATTCCTCAACAAAGTAGAGTGCTTGAAACAAAACAAGACTGCTCTATAAAAACCCTAATACCAAAACATCCACAAGCTAAATTGACCAAAATTCTATCAAAATTTTTGAAATTTTGATTGGAAAAAAAAAAACAAAAAAAAAAACCCAACAATCTGAGAAATGGATATTTCAAGACCCACCTCTAACACACAAATTACACAGCTTTTAGCTATGAAACTTCCCCAGAAATAACAAGTACCTACTACTACTACTGCAACAACAACAACTACAAGAGATCAAAGAAAGATACAAAGGGGGGAAATGGGAAAGTGAAACACTTACCAAGTTGGAATTGCAGTTGGATCTACAGCCTCAAAATGTCCAAAACATAATTACCAGAAAAGTGGCAGAGCAAAATGGGTAACTGTTAATGCATTAATAAAGGGAAAGTGGTCGATAAATTGATAGGAGTGTTCAAATTAATGAGGCAAGAAAGAAAGAATGAGAATTTAGAGAGAGAATTGATTCAGAGATCCCTCAGATGGAGGAGATTTCCAAATTTTTCCATTTTTAGTCATTTCCTATTTTCTTTTCCAACTTTTTGTCATTTACTTTGGAGGCGATCCTGAGCGTGCGTTTGTGTTGAAGGAGTATCTCAGGAAAATGTAAAAATAGTTGGTCTTTTGAAATGAATTTACCATTACATGATATTTTAATTTAATAACTAGCGGATGAGTACACATTCTATGTGTGTGAATAATTTTATTTTATTTTTTGTTTGGCTAAATAGCCAAAATGTTCCTTGAAATTTGTATAATCAATAGAAATGGTCTTTAAGATTGAAAATCAATAGAAATAGTCCCAGAGATTGTCCAATCCATGATTATGATCACTCCGTTAAAAACTCTTTGTGCAATTTTCAAAACTTCGTAACTCAATCGTTTCTTAACCAAATTTGACCCATAATATATCAAAATGAAGATAGGAAAGTGTAGAACAAGATTATACCTATTTGAAAGCTCTGCAAAAGATAAAGTTGGTACAGAGGAAGAGGAAGATGATAGAGAGAAAACCAGAGAGATTGTATTGATTGAATAAAAAAAATGTATACAAATGAACTTAATGAAATACTAATTATACAATCCCTCATATAGCCATATATCTCAATTACAATAATACTCCTCTAACAATACTAACAAACTTCACTACTGAAATAGTACCATGTGGCATTTCTATTATTACTCCCCTCAAACTGAACTTTGCCGGAGATGCTCGGAAAATAGCCTGAAATGTGACTGATCCGGGGAAAAACTGGAAACTGGAAAGCTCGCCGAAAATTGGGTAAACTTTAAACGTTCATAACTTCTTCAATACTCAACAAAATAGAGTGATTCAAAAACGAAAATCATATTTTCCGACGACACGAAAAGAATGGTACCTTTCTCGGAGCCATCAGCGACCCTACATTCATAGACACCATATTCAAGCTCCTGTCCATTGCCAAGGCTCATGCTGTCTTCTCTGCTAGGGTTTTTGATAATGCATGCCACAACTGTCCAAATCAAAAATATATATAATTAGGGTTAATTGAAGTTTAGTATGACTAATTTCATCATTACGTTAAGCTAATCGAATGCCAGCTTCAGTGGCACTCACTAGATCTAGATGGAGCCACATGTTATTAATTTGTAGGTTCAGGTTGAAAGTGGGATCGGATCACATTCCTAACTACTCAGTACACTCTAACTGCTAATCAACACTGGGACACCAACCACCTCGCACCACATACTTTGTCAGCATGGGATGAGGATCTGTTTTAGATTCTCTTTGTGTGGATTTCGAGAATCACTTCATTGTATCCGTTTATCGTATAGCGTGCGATTAATTTTCATCAAGTATTGTTTGTGTTCAATTTTAAATAAAAATTTCAAATGATTTTTTATCTTAAGATAACAGATGAACGGATACGATGAAGTAATCTCCAAAATCCTCACAAAGAGAAATCGAATAGGATGCTATGCCATTGACATGCAGGAATCATTTATGACCATTGATAAAGCAGACTTAACAAATTATTATAAGCCCCCATGACACTTAGCAGTAATTTTCATATATAAACTGTCATATATGTTCTTCTAGATCCAGATTTTCAAAAAATTGTGATTACTCATTGTTCGTTCTAATTCAACAATAGGTGATCATTTAATTTTTAACTATATTTTCTCTCTTATAGTTGAATTAAATTTGAACAATAAGTGACTTTAATTTTCTTGAATCTGAGATCTAAAAAAACCGTACTCTATAAATAATTTAATTTTTTTATTTCTCTAATGTGGGACTATCTCCAGACTTGGATCACATCATGAATAAGAAATCGGCCACTCACGTGGCGGCAAAATTCCTAGTGTGTCCAAGATGTGGCTGGGCATCGGGCCACCAAAGTACAAAAAAGTCTTCTTGTTTCTTAGTAGTTTTGTTGCGGGTTCGCCGTACGTAGAAGCATTTATAAAGGGGCGTTTTGATATAAGTGTTTTCAACTCTATAGACTAAACATTTGTTGGTTTTAGAGATTTAATTAAATATTTTTCCTACAAAATTGGAGTCTCATCTATCATAACTATCCTTTATTTGTACCAAAATTACAGATCTTACCATTGCCTAAATTATTCACGTCAGGAAAAAAATAGCAGAGATATTGAAACAAATTTCCTACAATCTAGCTCCTTTGATTCCCTATAAAGATAATTATACAAAAAAAAAAAAAAAAAAAAAAAAAAAAAAGAAAAGATTATCTACAATTTATAAAGGAATAAAATACCCTGCCATTTGATTTTTTTTTTCCCTTTCAATAAAGAAATAAAATACCATTTAAGATATTTGTAGTAATCCATATATAAATTTTTGTAGTAATTCATATAAGAAAATAACATCAAGAATAATACAAACGTACCAATAAAAAATATATGTATGAAAACAAACCTACTAAAACCGGAAATAAACGTACTAGTAAACAAAATTGAAGAACAAAAGTAAATGTACCAATCAACGATATGTATAATATTAATCGTACCCATATGATACTAAATGGTACAAAAACAATTGTAACAAAATCGTGAAAAAACCCTATCTGACACACCCCGACCGAGATCAGGGCATGTTGGCCGTCACGTGGAAGTGACGTAACCATGTGCACAGTGCGGAAGCTAATAAATAATAATATAAGTACGAATAAAAACAAACCTAGCTATACACAAAGTAAATAACATACATGTGCAAGCGTAAGTGTGAAAAACAAATTTCAGAGCACGAAAGACCTAGTGCAGTCCAGGAGAAACAACACTAAATAAACACACCCAAAGGTGGTCCTATACTGGCGATAATCTGTCAGATAAGCCAGGAAAATCCTCTAGGGAGCCACCAAAAGCGCTAGCCAAACTAGAACCTGGAGGGGCGCAAAACAGAAAGTACGAGTGGGCAAAAACAAAGCTTTTCAAAAACAAAGTTCTAACCCCTCGCCGTAAAACTTGTATACTTCCTAGAAAAATAGAATATATTCATATATGTAAATCATGCTCGGAAATATGCCATGCCAAATGCCTCATAATAAAATGCAAGTACGCAGGAAATGCCAAACAATGCCATGTAATCTATCAGCCGGAGTCACCTAACGTGACCTGTACGGCTGAATCTAGAGCTCAAATCTCCAACTCACTAACTATACCAGCACACGAGTCGGAACCATCTAAAGTGGTTTGTACGACAGGACTGGGTGTATAATAAGTACGCTCAAGTGCTACGATCACGTGAAGACTGGGTGAATAATCGTGGGTCACCTACAAGTCGGAACCACCTAAAGTGGTCTGTACGACAGGACTGTGCACCTAACTTGGATCCAAGATGAGTGTGTGGTGCGGGAGGTGAACATCACGTGAAGGACTGTGCCCAACTCTGGGCGGGAGCACTAACACCGAGGGTGCAGGTTATGAGCTCTCTATGCATCTCAGATCACTACTAAACATAAACATAAACCATAACTTACCTGGCACTTATCTATGCGTCCACAGCACCAGCACACATATATATACGCAACTAATAATGCATAATTAAATGGGCAAACATAATGCATGGCATATAAACGTATAAATGTTTCATTTCACTTTCTGGGAAAAACATAAGTATATAGGTATATACGGAAAACCAAAAGCCCACTCACTAGTATGTAGAAGGGTCGTAACCCCCTTGCCTCGAGTGACCGCGCTCATCCTCGGGATAGGTCTCACCTATATGCGAAACAACTATAAATACGTTAATTTTAAAGCACAAAACTAACATTACGAAATAACTTCTCATACAATGCTAAAATGGGGTGTATGAATACACCAACGTGATCTACTCAACCTCACGAACATCCCCATATTTTTAAAATAATTTTCCGACGCCGCACACCCCCCCACGCGCCGGCCAAGGCATGGCCACACGCGCCGCCCACGCGCAGGCACGTGCCTGGCACACTGACGGCGTCAGTTAACGCCGTCAGGAATATTCCGTTAAATCTAATTGATGTCGTTAACGCCATTAGGAATATTCCGTCCAAACTGACGGAATATTCCGTCATCTTCTCCAGCCAAACTCCGGCGCCGTTGCCGGCGCCGGAAAACCGGGAAATTTTCTAAACTTGATATCTCATTCATTTTTCAACCAAATTTCACAAAATTGGTACCAAAATGAAGCTTACAACAAGAGAAACAAATCCATACCACTTTCAAGCACTAAAACCCATGGAATCTCGTCGGGAAAACACCACCAACTCCGGCCAAACCTGCAACTCATGATCCCGACGTCCAAAACCTTCAAACGAACCACCCTGAGCCTCCTAAGGACCTCACCAAGTTTCCTACAAGCTTGAAATTCCCAAAAACACAAGAATTAACGTGTGCATGAACAGTGACCAAATCGGGGGATCCCGAGTTTGACGTGAAAATGAAGGTATACTTACCTGAAATGGGTATGGTTGAACTACTAAGGACCTCACGAGCACGAATATGTAGTTTGTTTCCTCGATCCGTGATGATTTCAAGGGTTTGTGGTGTTGTCCGTACGAAAAGGATAGGAAAGGGAGAGAAAGAGAGTCTCGGGACAGGGTAAAGAGAGAGAGAGAGAAATGAGTGTGGGTATGTGTGTGGTCCAAATCAACCAATCAAAACCCAAAAATGACCACACAACGAAACAACCATACTAGGGGCAAAACCGTCATTTCACCCTTACGGTACGAAAAGTTTGGGACGGGCTGTCACACTATCAATCAACGAGAACAAAACTAAATGTACAAGAAGCTAAAACTAAATGTATCAAAAGCTAAAACAAAATGTACCAAAAGCTAAAACTAAATGTACCAATCAACGATATGTACACCCAAAAATTAAAATAAACGTACCAATCAATACAAAACCAATATATGATAACCAACAATAAACGTACCATTATCACTAATCAACAATATGAACAAATTCAAATGTATACAAAATAATTATCTAACAAAAAGTATACTAAATAATAAACAAACAAAAAAATCTAAGCGTCCATCA